ATGTTTCAAATAATTATATGTATAAATATTAAATAATATATATGTGTAAATATCAAATAAAATAATTTATTGAATTTATATAAAATAATTTAATGAACATAAAATAAATGTGTAAGACGCTTAAACTACTGGTTATTAAAATGTCAAAACTTTTTACATCATTGCTCGTTATTCATTATACCTGAGATTCCTATATTATTTTGATGGTCCAACAAAATTGTTTTCAGATCTATAGCTAGTTAAATTTTTAGATACTTCGGCAAAATTGTTACATCTTCGTGTAGTAAAAAAAAAAAGAAGAAACGGTAGGTTGTTGCATGTCGCATGAAAGCACCATTTATTGTATCATTTATTGTACTAATAGATCGAATTTTCAATATACGACAGGACCACTACGGCACCATCTCCGCTGAACCTCCTGTCCACGTGGATCATATATTTCGTCAAACTTTGCAAAAAACGCCTGACCAAAAAGAAAGAACGACCCTCTCTGATGCACCTGATGGGTGCCCGTATGTCTCCTCGCTCCAGGATGGGAGCCAAATGGCTGTCTAAGATAAAGAAGACCTCACAAGTGGGACACAAGGATGGCGTCGCTTTATCAGTGGCTCACCTGAGTCCTCTGGGCAGTCAATTGTCCTTCCGCAATATCGTCAAGATCGACAACGTGGTCGACTGGGAAGTTGTCAGGCGCAAATACAGAGATCTTTACGGCGAGAAGATCGAGGAGAAACCGGTTGAAGAGAACAAGGAGTTGACAGATAATCCATTGGCGATTTTAGAAGGCTCGTCCGATGCTGCCGAAAAATCGAGGCTTGGACTTGGAGCTTGAACGAGGAGGAAATGTTGAAGACAGCCATCGACAATACATTACATAACTCTCACGAAAGAGAGAGGAAGAGAGAAAGAAAGAGAGATCAAAGCTCTTCCTATTTTCGCAGATTCACCGCATTAATACGCTCGGTTGCGTTTATTTGTACATACATCGCCGCGAGGCGTATACGAAGGACCTTGTCAGTATTTTCGAAATAAATGTCTAAGCTCGACTTTGTATCGCCTGTACAGTTATTGTTAGCTAGCAAACCTGTGCTCCTTGTGATCCATAGTCTAATCGATTACTATATAACACGTTTTAGAGACTACCATGGGGAATACCCGTATGCATAGGGATCGTTCCACGTCACATTTGACGGTTAGTCATCAACATTATTTAATTATCAAATTCTCTTTCCACCTAGAATGTTTTTGATTATATGTATGATATACCTACATATATATATATATATATATATACCTATATTATATCAATAGAGCGCAATTGCGTAATGGCTCTGTTGCAACGATGCACGCACCGATCATTATACCTGCATCATGTTGCTCATGATATTTTCGTGTAATATATCGGCGCGCCCGATACATTTGTAGGATATGTATCTACGTAATATCGCAATATTAGAATTCGAAGCTCACATCATCATTATACATATATTTATACACAAATTTAATGTGTAGCATGTACATTCATTGATATGTCAATCGAAATTGAACGCGTCTACAGGATTCACCTCTCAATCATTCGCACGTTGTAAAGTTCGACTGGCACGCACTATAAATGCTCACTCTGTAAAAAGAAATAGTTAAAGCGAATTCGATAAAAAAGATTTTTCTCTGTATAACGAATACTTAATTTTTAAAAATCAGAATTTGGTTTAGAAGTTTTGAATCCACTTCTATCTATTTCCGCTGAATACAAACTTATAATATTACATCAAAGTTATAATTTCTTACTCAACAATGTAACTATTATATATAACATGTGTTATATTGTTGAATGGAAAGTTATAATATTGATGTATTATTACTATTAATTTGTATTCTACGGATTTTTACTCGCAACGCGCAAATATTGCACAATTTTTAAATTAAACATAAAATTAAGAAATAATCTTATGTAATCTTATGGAATTAATTTCTTTTTAATTTCACATTATTTTCCCATAATTATAAAATACGTAAATACTGATAGAAAAAAGAAATTCAATGATTCTAAAACTCATTCTTGATTTCATAGATTAGGAATTCATAATTTTACAGAGGATAAGTTTTCATCAATTCCTTTTAATTTTTCTATTTTTTGCAGAGTGCATAAAAGCGAATCGAAGTACAATTCTCACATTGCAAGCCACATTCATCGCATCCATCTTGCATTTGTAAATGCGTTTAAAAAGTTTTTCATATCGATACATCAAATATGGACATTCATGTCTTTACAATTTATTATTCAGTGTTCGCTCATCGAAATCTTTTGAAATTCTGCTGCTCATTCCATCGCATGTTTTAGGTTTTACGAAGCTCGTTGACTTTCCTTCTTTGATTGATTGCCAATTTTTGAACGAAGATTAGGATAGTTGATCATCGTCAGCATGAACTTCTACAATTCTTAATACTCCAAGAACTGTAAATATGATTTTTTTCTGCTTGTAATCAGAATAACAACGAATGGAATAACACCAAATCAGCAGTGGTGTAGTCCGAAATTTGCAATTACTTAAATGCAATGACTAAAATATTAGACTACTAGTTACACTCTGCCTCAATTATACTACACCGCTGTATTAACGTAGGAATATACAACTAATTCAACTGCTATGATTTTTAATAAAATATAGATGGATACAACAATATTTGGATTCACGTAACAATATGCTGTAGTATTATAATCGCTTATTAAGCGGCTAAGTAGCCACTCAATGTCATTGGTTCTTATCTTTAGCTCTAATCACATTAAATTGCTACTTAACCACTTATTGAGCGATTATAGTACTGAATACAACCTTTGAGATTCTTTTAACTTACTATTCTTTTTTTCTGTCTGTACAGTGATGGTTGATCCGATCGAAATCACGGAAAATCTTTTCTTCGCCATTTTTGGTCAAAAAGGTGTCGAACACTTTTCATTAAACGAGAAGAAGCAACCATCGTGGACGGTTTATTTTTTCAAGGTAATTTTTTCAGTAAATAATATAATTATCTATATAAATTATTTTTTTATATGTTAGAATTAAATAAACGTTTTTTGTTTCAAGGTGTCATTCTCATTATACATGCTCGTCAGTGTCATAGTATTGATTAATCTATTAATTGCTATGATGACCGACACATATCACAAAATTCAATCACAGAGTGATATCGAATGGAAATACGGTCTCAGCAAACTAGTTCGTAAGATGCAAAAGTAAGTAACACGATTGAAAAAAAAAGAGTAAAATCTCTTTGGGAACACAAAAGTATTAAATCTTTGATTTTTATATCTTCAGCAAATGAACTTTTCAACTACGCTTTTGTTAAATTAAGGTAAACTATTGATAAGAGATAAATCAAGATAAACCATTGATGATATTTCGAGTTATGTCACTTTTGATGAATTATTATGAATTTGTTGTAATTTTATAGGATATCAAAATCATTACAATTAAAAAAGGATGATTTTTTAAGAATTGTGAAACGAAAATAACAAAAATGACATTTGATCTATCATTTCTAAGAGTATATTCTTTTTGCCGATATTATTTACTTAGTCAATAATTTTCTATTTAAAGTTGAAAAATAATTCTTTTCTAAAAAAAAATCGTAATTTTTTAGTTATGTCTTTTGAAGTAAAGGAACGATATAATTTTTTCATCAAACTTTCGTATAAAACTTAAAGTGTGCAATTTCTTATGCGCTTTCATTTAAATTTGCAAACCTTTACTGTAATATTATTCTGATTCTTGTAGAACAAGGACAGCTCCATTCCCGTTAAATCTCGTTACCACATGGGCAGAATATATTAAGAACGCTTGTATGAAAGAACGTATTGCAAGGCAGAAAATTGGCAGATCGTATGGGTACATGGAACCCGATGCACAAAGGATTTTTCCAAAATTTTCTACTGTACGTAAATATTTATGTCCCTATTTATTAAATATAAAAATATTACGCTTTACTAGAAAAATTTATAATATTGCCGTATGATCTAATAAAGGTCTTAAACCTCTTCTTCCGATTTTGATGAGCTTTGAAAATGTTGTAATATAGATTAAAATAGGAGATACATTTTTAAAAATAAGTTTTCTTACACACGTTAAGGAAGATAAAATTAAAAAGAATCGATTTTTATCTTTCTATATTATAGAAATAATAAGATATATAAAAATATCTTTTAAAAAACTTTTTGATGAAAGTAACTGATTTTTAATGATGTATTCAGATTTTCCGAAAATGTTTTTTTTTTCTTTCAACGTACTTCTAACATCCACTATTTTTTAGAATTTTGCAGAACCATTTTTATAGTCAAATTAAATTTGTTTAAAAATACATTCAACTATACATATATATAATACAAAATTATTTTTTGAAAATTTTGCAAAATAAGCCATAAATAAAAAAGGAAGGTCGAAAATTGCCAGGCATTTTATTAAGCAATTTCAGAATATCTTATCTTTTTTTATTAACTGAATTTTTTGTAATCTTTTTCTTTTTTGTTTTAGAATGCTAGAATGCTTCCACTACCGCGAGCAGCGAAGGAACGAATTAATTTCTCCTTACTTCAATCGAGCTCGACTACCAGTCAAACTTCTTTAAATAATATTCCGAAGATACAAAATATCGTTGATTGGGATATAGTCCGTCGAAAGTATCGTATGCGATTCGGAGACGAAATCGAGAAACCGTCCAGTGGGGAGATGACGCTTGTTAAAATGGCTTGAACAATAAAATTGACGCGCGCAACATATATTCCATTATTACACGCAAATTTCCATACGCGTAATTTTTTTATTATTTTGTATCAGCCTATTTTATATCGTACAGTATTTCAAATAGAAAGATATATATAAGTACTTTCTACGTTTATACGGTTTCTTGCGATATCACTAATTGTAACGAAATATATATATATATATGTATATATATATATAGGTAGATACATCATAAGTAGATATTGAGAAATGCCTCTATTTTCACTGCTTATTTTATCTTGCCCTTTCCAAACGGTGGTTGTGCATTGGTTTGCAAATAAAAAATACCTTGAACGTTAGGGTTGATGAATTCGCCCATATCGGCAGTGCTAAAATTGTTATCGCCGCATTTACCAAGTTGGAAATCTATCCAATTGGAGCATTTCACGGCGACAAAGCCATCAGGATGCACGATCGACTCGGTGAAAAACTGATGCGATCTACCATGGCTGCAGGTCTCTAAAAAAATACAAGCTAAATCAATATTCTCATGCGCGTAATATTGTAAAATTTAATGCTGGCATCATACGGGATGAAAATACAGGGCATCCAGGTTGCCTAAATGTTCCTCCATTCGGATAAAAATCCGCGTGGCCAATAGGTCTGAGGAAGCCTAAACTACCGGCGCAAGTGTGAATAACATCCACGAAATTGGCGTCTGCGGCATCTAATCGCTCCTCTGTATCTTTAAGATAAGGCGTCTCGAATGCCGGCCCAGCCGGATCAAGTCCGGTAATTCGACCGAGCTTCTTCGATATATAATTACCAATGTGTCCGGCTACATGGGCACCCAAACTATGTCCCACAACGTGAACATCATCGAAGGATACTTGAGTTTCTGATCCGAGAAATTCGATAAATGCAGCCACGTATTCTCCCACCTGAAAACATGAATTTCGATTGTGCATTACATTCTTGCAAAAAAAGTATCTTTTAAAAAATTAATGAGCACTTTAAAAAATCAAATCGAAAATTCTCGTAACTCTGCGAAACTAATTTTATTTTCATTTTCATTGGTTTGCATACAATTTATGTATCGTGTAACAAAAAATCTTTTCTTTTCCAGCATAATTTGCGTTATGTTTTAAAATAAGCATTTTTTAAATTATATTCTATATTGATATAAATTTTGCAATCATGCACATGGTTTTTTCACAAGAAAATTAGAGTTTGAATTAATTTACTCATTCAACTATCTTCAGAATATGCATTTTACTCACCTGATGAGTAAGTTTGACGGATGTTAGATATTCTTTTGTTGAACCGGCGAACCAATCTACACAAATTACATTGTAATCTCCAACGTTAAGATAATTTCGCCGAATATCGTGTAGCCAAAAAGCATTTCCGCTCTCTGCCCACCCGTGAATAATAATCTTGGTAGGCCACTCAGGATTAAATGGTGAATCCTTTAATTGAGTAGCATCACCCACTCGTAGATAAACAGGTTGCTCCTTATTGTCCTTGGTATAAAGTTCATAATTTATATCTTCTGCTTTAAGATCTATATCAATTATATTGCCGATTATCGCACGATCATTTGCAATAATCGATGTCGGATTTAAAAAGACCTCCAAGAGACCTTCTTCGGAATGGTGATCTTGAAAATTTTGGATCGATGGTCGATTACGCAATAACTCTGCTATATTAAAAGATACATCTAAAAAGAAATGGAAAGTAATAAGAATAAATGATACATTTACCTCCATTAGTATAACTAAATTATATTTTTGACAAAGTCGAAATTATTTATATAAGAACCACCTTACTTAGGAACAAAAATACGAGGAACGTTGGAATAAGAGCCATTGTGATATTTTTCAATACTTTTATTAGATAGTGTTTCTTTTATACCTTCATATTACATAAGTAAAAATATTCTTGGGCTATTCAATCCATTAGATCTTATTACTAACATCGAACAATAAAATACCTAAGTTGCTCCACGAACATCCGGTATTTGTTTGTCCTAATTTAAACTAATTTTAACTGAGCAGTATTATTGAAATTTCGTTGCATATACTTTTCCTATATTTGGCAATGCTTAAACATAGATAACAGGAGTTTTGTAAATATCCATAAATCTATTACTTTTAGGACCAAAATCAAGAATAAAAAATATTGATTTAGATATTGTCAGAGCTTATTGCTAATTTAGTTGGCATATACTATAATTCTCTTTGGTCGAGTTATGATATTGAGTGTTCCAATATACATTGTCAATATTGAAACTCTATAATAATTTACGTTATGTATACTACAGATTTTCAGTACTAGCAATGTATATACTATAATGGCGTGCATCACAGAGCTTCTTGAAGTCAAACTAACTGCTCAATACTGTAATACATTAACGAATATATATCAACGAATATACATCAACGATTATAAGAATTGCAATACCAGGATGTATACTGAAGAATTCTGGATATTGCAATTTTAAATAACAGTAATGTAATTTTATGATCTGCTTTTTTGAAGAAATATAGTTTCTTTGCCATATCTAATAGATGTAACGACATTTAATCCTAATATAGCCGCTTCCTCACGTATAATTTCATATTCTTCTTTTGTAAAACCCTCTGAGAGATTTTGTCTTACTGCATCATTATTGTTGATAAGTCTTTCACACAAATCGCGGGCGGCGTTTCGAAATTCATTAACTTTTATTTTTTCTTCTTTAGATCTGAAGCAATTTTTCCATAAGCGTTTCTCTATTTCCAGATACTCACGCTGTTTCAAATTTGTCTAAAAAAAAAAAAAAAAAATGAAATAAAAAGAATATATTGTTACAACAAAATTATTTTATAAAAAATGTTCAACTTACTGTCCGAATTGCTTTTTTAATAGAGTCATTGTGCGGTTCTAACACCCAAGCTTTCTGGAACTCGTTCATTGCTTCATTATATTCTCCAATACTCAGCAAAGCTTTTCCATGGCTAGAATACAAGAAAACAAATTTATTATAATACTCTGATTTAATATATTTATACTTAAGCAGTTAAATCAGTAAAAAAAAGTACACACTGATAATAGCTTTTAGCTGTTGGTTTTGGAACTTTCCTTAAAGCTAAGCAAGCTTTAGTAGGCATGTTTTCTTTGTTATAACAAACTCCAAGATTGGTATAAGCTCGTGAGAGTAATTCATTCATTTCTTTTTCTTCCAAATCATTATTTAACTTGATTGATTCCATACAATCAGTAATTTTTCTATATCTACAAAAAATACATATTTAAGGAATGACTGCATATTTATAAAAATTTTATATCAGTTACTTACTCTCGTATCGCCTGTTTGTAGTTAAATTTTGTACAACAGTCTTTGGCAGTCACAAACATATGTTTCACAGGTCGTATCACATTTTTAAATAATTGTTTCTCCTCGTCGGTAAGATTTTGATATGTTTGTGCACAGCCATCGTCAACGTAATCAACTAGATGAACAACAAAGACCACTTCCTCGTTAGGTGGAATACGTGGTGGACAACCAACAGCCTTGTACGCATAATCAGGATGTATCAAAAATACTGCTATTTCATGCTTTTGCATAGAACGTATACCCATTTCTAAACCAGGTATAATAAAACTCTGACCTAAACGCAACGATCTTGGTTTCCCAATAGCGTAAGTAGAATCAAAAGGCTCATCTCTGTATTCAAAATATCCGATATAATGGACAATCGCTTGAGCATTGTTTGGTATAATTACTCCAACACCTTTTTGTTTGACATACTTCATGACCTAATAACAATTTCATATTAAGCTTGTTAAAATTACATTCATGATTTCATTTAATTGTACTGATAAACTTATCAATAAAATCAAAGATAATATTATCTCTGTAGAAAAATATACAAAATAGTATAAAGTCTGATTAACTTTTCCATTTGGAATTAAGCTCGTCATCTTTGTTTTCAGCTTTGAAAAGCTTATACCACAGAGTGATACAGATTCTTTCTCATCCTCCATTTCATCATCAAAATCATTCATGTTTAACATATTTAACATCTCTTCATTGCTGAATTGTACATTTGAAGAATATGAAAATTCTTCATCCTCCTCATTGTTATTAATGTCATCATCTCCAATTTCAAACATCATTCCATCTTTATTCATCAAATCCCTGGAATAATACAACAAATATGTAAGAATATAGCATAATACATGTATGTAAATTTATTAATATAGTTCTTATATACCCAATCTTAAAACCATCCAAGGAATTGATACTTTTCGCCATTTTTCAAGTTAAAGAATTCCCTCGAAAAATTCCTTGTCAATCAATTCAATCAATCAATCAATCAATTCACCTTCCCAGCTTCTACTCTTTCCTTTCTGAAACACGAATGATGTGAGCTAAGGATCTTCTCTTACAGTACTTGTATTTCAAGTACGTTTCTTCTTTCTTTTCGAATATATAATACATATACACTATAGGATACCACAACTTGTTGCACGGTTTAATGGCTCAGAAATCCGATTCAAGACAAAGAACACCCGATAAAAACGCGGAAGTTCATTCGGTAAATATTACTTTGTCCTTGTTCACTGAATATTAAACAAGATAAAATAATATCTAGATGGGGACTCGTGGGGACTGAAGTTTCTAAAGGAAGCCGGCCATTACATAACATCAGAAATAGTAGGACTGCTATAACGTTCGAAATCGCGTTGTCTTCGTTGTCCTTTGCTGCTGATAGAGCAGTCTGTTCTTTTCGGCTGAACTTCGTGCACCGTTCATATTGCCTCCTTTTCTCTCCAAGGCCCAGGATACGTTAGCGGATTCCAATCAACGCCATCATTCGTGTAACTTCGTTGTTTACTGAGTGTTGAACAAGAATGAAATGATATAGAAAGAGCACTCGGATGGAAATTCGAACATAACCCGATGTAGAGAGAAAGAGAGAAAAGATAAAGCTGGAAGAAGTTCAGGTGAAAATGACAAATTACTAAAGAGAGCGCTGAGGTTCATCTTACGCAGGCGCACTGCGCACTGAACAGACAGAACATTCATAAATCATATAGAACCGCCTGTCATCGCGTATTCCATATTCCATGCCGCCCACGCGCTAAGATATGAGGCCTGTTCATGTTCCTTTTGGCTGAATTTTTTGCACCAGTTCATCTTTTTTCCTTTTCTCTCCAGGAGGAAAGAAGAGGAAGATAGATAAACTGGTGCAAAAGTTCAGCCTAAAAGAACAGGCCTATACAGAATGGACTGCGCGATCCGTATCTAAGTAATGTATCAAATGTGGTCGACAATAATGAGAGCAGTATTGGTAACCTAGAAACAGTGGCCGATCGTATCAGGTAAAATTATCGTACCTAACCTAGAATTATCGTGCATACATACATCGCGCGCGCGAACAAAATTTAAATACGAAATATGTAAAATTTTAATCCGTAATTAAGACGGTCAGAAATAACAATTTTATTTATTACTTAACGTTGAAGTTATTTAGGCTGAAATCAGCTTCCGAAATAGATAAGAAATTTCTCGATCAATTCTCAACCGCTTTCGCTGAAATTATCCATTCAGCACCTTAGAAGCCCCTTAATACACGATCATTGAAACAATAACCGATATTTTTTATAGATTTCAAGAGCTTAAACATTCCATAGAATAAATTGTATTTCTATAATATCCAGGTTAAAAATACAAATTGAAAAGTGATTATTTTAGTATATTTAAAACAATTTTAAAAGAAAGAAACGGTACAAATGTGGCTTTTTACATATGTTGACAATAGACAGTAAGTTCACTTGTATTGTCAATATCACAATTTTTTATGTATGTAGCACATATGTATATTTTTTCGTATTTATCGTAGTAGCATCAATTATAGTCATTTCACTTCACAGATTAAGCCAGGTGACTATATAGAACGATAAATCTTTGATAAGACTAAACAATATATAACTCGCAAATTATAAACGAACAGATTTCATATAGAACAAATAATATTTAAAATTCATACTTATAATTTCTATGATTTTTAATAAATAACGATATCATCCAAGTCATTTAATTCATCGTCTTCTTCGATGCCTACTCTGTTGGTAATATGTATATAAAATTAAGAGAGAAGAGTAATAAGTCAGAAATATAAAATTATCGTATTTTGGCGTACGATAATGAAGTGCTATCGTACATCGTACGTATAAGTAAAATTATCGTACGGTTACAAACACTGAATGAGAGAGAGGGACCATGGGAGACGGCGCGGTGATCCCGATTGACCACGGCTCAATTGAACACCACCAATCACAGTGACCGGTGCTTAGGAGCTTTGTAGTCTCAAGCGCTGTGAGTGGCTCGTGTCCAATTGAGCCGTGTCCAACTGGGTGCCACTCACAATGAATGAGCCAGTTGGGCCAGTCCAAAGACATAAAGAATGGACTGCGCGATCCGTATGTCAAAATGGTCCCATGGTCCCTTTCTCTCATTATTGTCGACCACATTTGATACACTACTTAGATACGAATCGCGCAGTCCATTCTCTGTGTCTTTGGATTGGCCTGACTGGCTCATTCATTGCCAGGGCCTCTATTCTTGAAAAGGTCGCACACGAAAAACTAGGGAAATGCTATAGTATGCGTTATATATACTATAGCATTTCTCTAATTTTTCGTATGCGATACTTTTCAAGAATAGGGCCCAGTGCTGATAATGTATAGTATACGTTACGTGGACTATATATTTCCAGCATTGGTAGTGGTCAGGTGCATAGTGTGTATTCCACAATACATGATTTCTGATAGGTTGAAATTCTTATTCTCTGTTCCCTGTTCCTTTTATTGTGCGAAGCCCCTAAGACCGGAATCAAACTATGCTTTGAAGATTGAGATTGTAGATTGAAGATTGAAATTTGACCAATGAGGACAAAGGAATTTTAGCTCCTATTGTTTTAATTGATCAAATTTAAATCTTTCACTCTTTAATCTCAATCTTCAATGCATAGTCTGGTTCCGGCCTAAAAGCAAAGCAGGCTAAATTAATAGGGTCTGTTAGTTGTCTATGTATGTACTACATGTCTATTATACTACTATTAACAGTGGCTGTGTTCCAAAATTTATTGCACGTACTGAATTGAAAAGCTATACCCAGTGAGAAATGACAATGAAATCGATGTCGAATCGACGTTATAATCATAATTAAACGATTAACAATAGAAACAAATTCCTAAAAATTGCAAATGCAAATAAATAAAAGGAGATAATAATTATTTAACTATCGGGTGGTCTTCTTTTACTTATAATCATTTTTATTAATTTTTTAAATTCGTGATTATAACATTATTATATTTATCGATAATTATAATCTTATAATCTGGTAATTTTTTATATTTTTATTAACGATTATATATGTAAATATGTTTTTCTTTTATAATAACAATCCACTCGAAAATATACAATAGATAAATACTTAAGATAAGAGAATAATTGCAGCAGATTGTTTATTTAAATAGTTTACTTCTTTTAATCGCCCGTGATGTCCTCATTGAGTTAAATTTCTGATCGATTTATCAAAGAATTATCGATTAGCAAGCAATACTGATACGTAACCAGCCGATGTCTTTATTAACTGAAAAAGAATTAAGATAAATGTGCCATGTTAGACACGACATAAATTATTGAAAAATGGGACAAAAATTTTAGATATTAAGTTTTTAATGTAGGTACGACTCTAAATAAGTTTGATATAATTGTTAAATTTTGATAAACAACGTATTTATTTAGAGATAAGACGAATGCGCGATTAAATAATTATGTAATAAACCGTCATGAATATATATAACCGGTTTTATGAAGGTGGATTTAGATTAAATTTCTATTAACTTCTTAATTGATAATTAATTTAATTATTAATGTTTGCAGTAAAACTTCTGACTATAATATAGTTATAATTTGTTTCTAAGCTTTAATTTCTTTTCTCACGTATCAAACAAGAGAAAATGTAACATGAGATAATGATTTAATTTTATATTAATAAAACAGCTGAGAGAGATTAGATTCGATAAGTTAATTATCAATTAAGTTAACATTTATACGGGCACGTATAAAACAAATTTACAAACATCTTACACTGCAAAACATGGACAATGTCATGGGAAATATCCTGCCTGCGGTAATATACAGAGGTCTTTCGGCGCGAATCATTATAAGCATCAGGTTTTTGGTTTCATTCGGCGTCCTCAAGTACCACGCGTAGTTATACACTGCATAAAATATTCCTTCACCCTGTAAACATTGTTATATCAAAAACTCTATATTAATCCCATTACTTATATATATATATATATAACATAAATAACGAATTCAAAAGCGACTTTTACGACCCAGATAGCACGACTAATTCATTTAAATTCGACAAGTATTTACCTTGTTAAGTTCTTTTTCGATGTAATCTGTTTGAAATGAACAAAAAAATTCCTTTCCAATCAATATAAAGGATTCTATAAAAGTATATTTTTTTAGTATAACTTCTTATAACTCTCTCTATTAAAATATTACTTAAAAGTTATTTCGATTTCATTGCGAATTCATATAGACAAAAAAAATTACCTCTTTTAAATCTAAAAAAGAGTTCACACTTGGAAATTTAAAAATCAAATTTTTTGAGACCCTCAGGAATACTTTTAAGGTAAAAATGGAACGGAACAGGAATTTATTTCGTAAGTCGAGAATAAGAAAAGATTTGTTTTATCCTCTGTGCTATCTAGGACGACAGGTTGTCTAGAAATTGTTTCAATTTAATAAAAGAAGCGCTGCAACACTTTGTAATTTGATTTATTGTACCTATTTTTACTAACAATAAGTACTTACTTTGGCTATAAGAATCTCTCCGACCACGCAGTACAGACACATGTGAGCGAATGTATTGATAAGAATCGAAACGAGCCAACATATTCGCATAACGGAAACACCTTCACCACCTCCGTCAATGATCTAGACACGTTAATATATTTTCTATCGACGTTTTTATTTAAGAAACTCATGTTTTAATATCTTAGTTTCTTTTCCTTCGGGATGCACGATTATGTATGATTTACACAGGGAATTGGTGAGAAGAGTATCGCGATTAAAGATCTTTTCATTACTATTCCTGCGTTTCCGTCATATAAAAAAAAATATGTTAAATAAAGAACTCTCGATCTATTTAAAAATTACAAGAAAATCCTATAGAAAAAATAAGAATTAAGCGTAGTTAGTAAAATGCAAATTAAATTAAATCAGTTAAACTGCTTGACTCTTAATTGTTCTGTGATTTTCTTTTATAATTTTCGAGAAATATAATAACTTCAAAAAGGGCTAACTCTCTTCTCTCATTCGCCAACTTACATTAACTATCAGAAATCCTTGTAGGCAAAATAACATAGCGAAAAACACTAATAGTGTCAGAAGCATCAAGTTGAATGTGTTGTCGATAATATCAACAGACCTACGAGTTAAGTTATCGTATACTGTAACATCGGATTCCGATCAAATGAAAAGTCTCGGAGAATATATACCTTTACTTTTCCAGGGAGAAATAAAAATTGATTCGATCGATGTCAATTAGACGTAATCGACATCGATCCTATTTTTGTTTTTCTCTGGGTTGCAAATGATGTATTCGTTCGACATACATATATAAGAAGCTAAAATGTCATGTAAAAGTATTGTGTGGACTTATCACCAATTTATACAATAATTATTATCGTATTATAAATATTATCATGTTACAAGTAATATATACATAATAATAATCGAAATGTAAATTAGCAATGCGCAACCTTTTTTAAGAGTCATTTTCAGAAGGTCTTTTTTCAGAAATAGATAAAATCCGCATAATGTTTATTTCGTTTACACAAAATGGAAAACATTATTTTATATTTCTG